GTTATGTCTAAAACGTTCTCATAACTTTGGTGTTGTATACTCCACCACATTTATGCATCTGTTTGCAGCAAAGGTAAATATCCATGCACAAGTACCCTCTGTCAAGCCTGCACACGGATTTGTAGATACATTTCCATTCTCCACCTCCCACCTGTCCAACCTGTGCTGGGCATGTTTGCATGCATCTACCCATAGATCACGTGATTGCTAGTTTGTGGATATAACAGTATTTAATTCCGCTGTCTTTTCTTTAACTCTTGCACTCCTCCTAGTGTCTGCCTCACTTCTTTTTTTTAATCATTTTATTAGGGGCTCATACAACTCTCATCACAATCCATACATACATCAGTGTGTAAAGCACATTTGTACCTTCATTGCCCTCATCATTCTTTTTTTTTAAACTAATGAAAAATAATTTATTTACACAATGCACTCAGAGATACCGAAATACAATTTGGCTTTGAAACTAAATGAGACCATATGTTTACCATTAAATTCAGAGTGTGTTATCTGAAAGTCATACAACAAAGTGAAACAGCACAGCAAATCCAACACATGTGCAGATGTTCTCTGAACTCACGCTTCACTGTGCATCAAAAACCACCAATCTTTTAGTCCTTCTCTTGTATATCATTCTGAATCCACATTCGCTGCATCTGATTGGATCCCTGGATTTTATTTCATTTTCTGTGTTACATTCTCCGCAGATATATATCATTGGCTGCTGTTTGGGGGGTTGCACGTCGTCCTCCTGGGGGTCCATTGTTAAATGCCTACGAAGTCAGAGACAGGGCTCGTTCCGCAAGGCCAAACAGCAGCTGCCAACTTCCGGCGCTTGCCGCCCTCATCATTCTTAAAACATCTGCTCTCCACCCAAGCCCCTGGCATCAGCTCCTCATTTTCCCACTCCCTCCCAGCTTCCCCCTCCCTCATGAACCCTTAATAATTTACAAATTATTATTTTGCCATATCTTGCACTGTCCAATGTCTCTCTTCACCCACTTTTGTGTTGTCCGCCCCCCAGGGAGGAGGCTAAATGTAGTAATTGGTTCCCCCTTTCCAACCCACCCTCCCACCACCCACTCACGCCACTGGTCGGGAAGATTTCATCTGCCCTAGATTCCCTGTGTTTCCAGTTCCTATATGTACCAGTGTACATCCTCTGGTCTAGCCAGACTTGCAAGGTAGAATTGGGATGATAGTGGGG